CTTCAAATGTTATGCATATAAATTAATTTCACACTGCTTCAGGACTTTGTTTTCAAACTACCAAAAGGGTTAAGAACTGAGAAGGAAACACTTGCCAAACTCCCGGGTCTAAACTAAGCATAAGAGGTTTTGTTCGTTTTTTTTGTTTGTTTGTTTGTTGGGGTTTTTTTTTTGTTTTTTGGTTTTTTTTTTTGCTTAGGGGGAAGGGCAGGTGGGTGAACAATGGCCAGAAAGAGAGGGAAATGGGGACTGGAAATAAAGTACAGTCTTTTGTATTTCTACAGCTCAAAGATGCTTTGAACAGGACTGCTGCCAACTGTGGAAAAGCATCTTTTATGGAAAAAATATGCCAGTGACAATGGATTTACAAGAACTGAGCCAGTGTGTCCTATATGCATTTATTCCATATTATGCAAGATTAATTGTTTGGAGCATCATGCTTTCAGGAGTGTTCTAAGCATCAGGGAGCCAAATTTAGAATTGGTATCATGAAGTCAAATTTCCTTTTGTATCATAACTCCCCAGGATGCCTGATTACAACAGTGCTGAATCTGGCACTGGAAGATGTTACCTACAGACTGGGCACAGTTCTGCTTAAATATGACAAATTGCATTTGCTTCCTTAGCCTGCATGAATTGATGTACATAATTTGGTGCTAGAGCTTCAAAACATTTTATTTTAAACAGACTTAATGCTTTTTGTTGTTTTGGAATGAGAAGGAATAAAAATATAGCAGATGGCAATTTGAATATACTTGTCAAAAACAGGATTTTAAGGTTGCACTCTCAATTACACTGTGGCCTCATTATATTCCCTACCCATCCTAGGAATGCCTTAAACTTGGTGTAAATGTAATTATGAAATGTAATTTGTTTTGACTGCTAACTATAAAATGGGATTTATCTGTATAGGACTCATCTATACAGGGAAATGGAATAATTACACCCAATTAAAACATCTACCTGGGATGTTACATCAGCAAAGCCATAGCAGTATAAATTATTCTGCTACAATTATGCTCATTAGTTTTCCCAGTAAAAAGGCTCTTATCATAAATAAAAATGGGTCTCTAATGATTAATTCAGTATTATATTTATCCAGGTTTATTGGCATGGGGGAATACATTGGTTACCATGGAATCAAAAGGCAGAGTCTAACAGCAGAATAAAGGACCAGGCATCAAAAGTATCAGCAGAGTGAGAAACCATCTTTTAAACAAAAAGGTTTGCCGTATGAACATGTCTGTGAACCTTTGGACAGCATCCTGTGTACCACCTGAGCAACTCCATGTCCCTACTGCAAATTGGGACAAGTACAGTTTTGCACTAGCTGAGGATTAGACTGGCAAAATTACACTGATTTCACAAAACTTTAAGTCCTTTCAGTTATGTTGGTTTTCACAGCAAAATGTTGAGGAATGTCCAACATCCATCATAGCCAGCAATTTGCTTGTAGTAACTCTTCGCCTGAATTCTGTTTTGTTTCACAGTTACAAATAAATGAGGCCAGTTAATTGGCAAGCAGTGTGGCTGAAGACGGAATGAACATACTATTGTGAGCATCTGATAAACTTAGCCAAACATATCTTTGAGAGAAACCGCTCTTTATGTCCACTATTGAAAGAAATCAGCAAATATTTTGGGGAATATGTGGTACTTATGTGAAACCCACTTGCCACAGATGTTTCAGCAGCAAGTATGGTATTTATAGCAATTCAGTTTTTTCCTTTACGTTTTGCAAGGACAGTGCATCTGAAATGAAAAAGAACACCTAGACTGTAAAGAGGCAAGATTCTCAAGCCACTTCTTTTAAGATTCTGCATTTTGCTGTTGAAAAATCTCAGCTGGGGATACATCCATTGACACCATACCCACAAAACGAACAGCGCCAAGATGCAGTAAAGAAACTGCATTTCTCATAAAAGTCACCTTTAATTTTGTGACCTGGTTACAGACTGCTCTAATTCTCAGACAGCCCTTAGCTGGACTCCAGGGACCTTGGGCAGAGGCACAAATTCCCTCTTCACCTCGAGCAGTCACTTTGCCCTAACAATACTCGAATCATTTTCTCCGCCCGTGGCTGGGACACCATCGCTCCCTGCGGGACAGCTCTGCTCTCGTCGGTGGCAGCGTTTCCCAGAGCAATGCTATGTGCTGTGCCACAGCCAAGAATCCCTAAAGGCATTAGCGTGACAGAAACGCTGCCTGCTGCCCCCGGACCCCTGCCGGGCCCCTCTGCGCGGGCTGCATAGGGCCGTATTTGGTATTCCTCGGTGAACTCTGCACAGAGCTCGGTCTGGTCCCAAATGGTTTCAGACCTTCGGATCCTGCCATCTCTGACGGACTTGGTACGGCCTCGGAGCCGTTCGCTCCACGCTCCCCGAGTGCCGCCCAGACGTCGGCCCAAGCCCCGTCGGGAAGAGCAGCGGCAACGGAGCCCCTGCCCGGCCCCTCGCTGCCCCGCACGGGGCTCTGCCAAGGGCAGCGTAAGCGATGCGAGGACAACGCCAGGAAAGTTTATTGTTGGCAAAACCGGTGGGCACGTGCTGCACGCCAGCGGCCCCAGTGCGGGGTTCCAGCCCAGCTGCCAGCCGCCTGCCGCCGAGGAGGAACCGCCCCTCCACGACCATCCGGGAGCGGCCCCGGCCGGATCTCCAGGCTCTCGGGAATGCCCTCGCCCGGCATCTGGCAGAGGGCCAGTGCTGCGGCCGGTCCCCCGTCGCTCCCCGCCCAGGGCGAGCGCTACTAGCCGATCCCCAGCCCGTGGGGCAGTAGCCGCCGAGGCCACCCCGGCCCGGCGGCGGGGACGGCAGGAACCTAAGGGGCGGCGCGAGAGCTGATCGCGAGTGCAAAGTCCGGCCGGGCGGGCGCCCCCGATCGCGCTCGGGCGGTGGCGGGATGTACCAACAGGCCCCCGGGGGAGGACGCCGTTACGCCCCCTCCCACCAGCCTCCCGCGGCACTCTTGATACCAACGGGAACCGCCCCCCCCCCGATGCGCGGGGCACATCTGCGAGTCCCACAGTATCAGGCGGGAAAGACGGGGACGAGGAGACTCGCCCCGGGGCGGGTGAGGGGTGGTGAGGGTCGCTGTAGAGGCGCCTGGCACACGCGTCCCGCCTTCCCCTGCTCCCCCCTCCCTGCGGTGGGTGGTGCGGCCCGCTCTGAGAGGGAGGGAGCGCCGCGCCCCGCCCCGCTCAGTGACACAGGCTCCGTGTGGGGAGGTGCCGGCGGCGCGGTCTGCGGGACCGGGTGGGACTGACCGGGCGTCGTAGCGGCGGCGACTGCGAGCCGAGCCCGGAGAATGGCAGGGGTTGGAGCCGCTGCGGAGGCTGCTGCTGGTTTCTCTCCTTCGCCGCCTCCTCGCGCCCGCCGGGAACTTTTCCTAACGGCTGGTGGCCGTGCCTCCCCCCGGTGGTGGCAGCGGCGGCGGCTGCTGCGTTTGGCGGTGCCTCCCGGGCCGGGGCTGGGACTCCTGGGGCTGGTTTTCTCTCGTTTCTGCTGCAGTAAGTGGAACTTTTCCCCTTGGCGGACGGGTGAGGGGGCGGGTGGAGGAAGAGGAGGAGAGAAACCCGAGCCCCGGCAGCGCCGGGGGACGCGGCCGAGTTGAGGGAAACTTTGTCTGGCGCCCGGCGGCGGGGGCCGCCGGCCGCCCTGCGCGGGGGAACCGTGCAGGACGTGGCTGGGATGGTGAAGGAGGGAGGTATGCGAGGCGGGTCCGAACCGGAGCCCGCGCCGCCGAGACCTATGGACTGTTTCCTCCGGGAGCATCCGCTGCGACCGCAGTCGAGAGAGCGGGTGTCCCGGGAGGCCAAGTATCCCTGGCAGATGGGCTGAGGTGGCAGCGTCCCGGGTGGGGCAGTAGGGGAAGTTTATTCTCCTGCTGGGGCTTCCCCCGGCGGACGGCAGGTTATCCGCTGTAATTCCCGTCCTGAGCGGCGGGATTTCGCTTATTTACGAGAATTCACGGGCGCTTTCCCGCCCCCCCCCCCCCCCCCCCCCGCTTTATTTCCCATCCCGTAGGAAGGACAGAAGGGTCTTGGTGTTTTATCCGGGTGTGCCTGGGGGGAGGAATAGTACGCGCTTTGCCTCAGGGGGAGTGGGCTCGTGTCGTTGTTCCCTCTCAATGAGCGTGAAACCCGTGCTGGTTTCGGTGTGGGGTCGCTCGCCGCTGCTGCTGAGGTGGGATCGTGTGCTTGCTCGACATCACCCGCATCCTGAGCAGCTGCTGCCGGGGACACTGCGGTGCGGGCCCCGCCGGGCTTGGCGTGACCGCCCGCAGGAAAATGCCATCACCTACCCCCCCCCCCCCCCCCCCCCCCGTTCATCTTCCTGTGGGGAACAAACAAGCAACGTAGCAGTTGGAAACTGAGCATGAATTTATTTATTTATTTATACTGCATGCGGTGAAGTGTTATTTTTTTTTTACAGCAGTGGAAGATGAGAGGGGATAAAAGTAGACTTAGACAAGAGCAAATCGAAAACCCTCATCCTGCCGTTGTATTCCCAATGCAAGGGAATAGTTGGCAAGGATATTTTAATATAGGAGACGCTGTGTCCCTTCCCTCTTTAATGAAGGAGGAAGAAGTTAGAGGAGGTAGTCTCTGGAGGTTCATGAGATAAAAATACCCAGGAGCGAGCAAGCCATGCCGCCGTAAAACACTTGTGTAGTATCTGAGAAGTGCTTTCTCAGGGAGGGAGTTGAGGCGCTGTAGGATTGTGCTGGTGCATGTAGTAGTCTCCCCCCTCTGGCAATGATGTAGCTTTCAAAAAAGGTGATTGTTACTAAGTTTGTAAATATCTAGAAGGCATCACGTTTCAAACTTAAAGGCTTAAAGACTTAGTTTTCATATGGTTGGCAAACTTTTTGCCCTAGCACTTTGCTCCCCTCCCTTTGTTCAGTGTTATTTCTGCTTTTTTGCAATTAAAAAAGTGAAGTTGCAGACTTGACATGACCTTGACAAGCTATTTTTACATCTAAATGTGAAGTTAATAGTAACGATGAAGTTAATAGCATCCGTGCCTAGTGTCATACAGCGACTCAACCATTTTAGTCTTGATAAGTGTAATTCGGATTGTCAGTCTTCCCAGATTCTTTTTTTTTTGTGTAAGTGATAACTCTTCAGAACTTCAGCCAGAAGTGGCAATGTTGTGGTAAAATAATTCTGTTCTTCGAGCACAAAGTTTTGAAGTATAATCTCTAGGTAAAAGGGTAAACTTGAAAAACTGTAACGTAACAGACTTTTGGACTTGGAGGTAAGCAGCAGGGGAAGAGGTTTTTTTGTCAATATCTTAGGTTTTAGTTTTCTTTTTACCTTTAAATTTCCCACAGTTGTTTTCATTGTGTTTGTAACTGTAACATATGACTACAAAGGAAAAATATTAATACTGTGCTCTTAAAAGTGCTCTTAAATATATTTTGAGCATGTTTACATGTTGATGGCACCCCAAACTACTTATTACTTTTGGTTGCCTTTTGTCCTGCTATTCAGCTAATTTTGATAATGGTAGCAAAAGAAAGATTTGAAAATGCTGCCATAAATGATCCCAATCCTAGTAGAATAAAGTCACTACAAAACCAAAAAAATTTTTATCCAGTCATTTTGATTGGCAGTTAGAAATTATTTATTTGAGCTATAATTCCTCAGAGAAATATTGCCAAAAACATCTCAACACTCACACCAAAAAACTGAAGGGAGAAAGAGAAAATATATCAGGAATCTGAAATAGCAGCTTTTCTCTTTTTGAGTAAATATAGACCTGCTTTAATAAATGCTGCTTCTTTTACAAAAGTAAGACTACTAGCTTCAGGTTATACATACAAGTACTTCTTCCACTTCCCTGTCAAACACTGCACGATGCCATGAAGGGCGTACTAAACTTACATGATCAAAGTAGTGTAACCTTGAACTAGGGGACATGTATGGCATCCATAGAAGCATCATCATAGCCTTTAATCTATAAAGTAACTTACTTTGCATTGCAGCAAATGCTTTTCAGCTATGCTGTAAATGAGGACTTGTGTGCTACTAAATAACAAATTCCTCATAATTTCTGTGTCTCATTTGTTTGCACACAGTGAAAAATTTTGTGCAAAAAATTTTTTAAATGTAAGCTTGAATTGAAAATAAGCAGAACTGTAAAGTGAGGTGAATAGAAGGATGTTCAAGATGCATTTTTCAGGTATTTTGTTGAAGAAATAATTTTTTTCAATTTAAATTGCTGGTTATGTTAAGCTTCTCAGTAAGGTTAGACAAAGAAGTATACATATGTCATCTAAGATCCCAATGAATTTTTTTTTCTTACAGGAGCCTGGAATGCAGAACTTCAGACTGGCAGTAGAGCTGGAAGGATTGGGTTATAAAGGTGTAGATAATGGTGTAGAGTGCAGTGTACCATATACAAAAATAATTTTAAAAAAAGAAAATCCCCAAGTAATTATTGATGAGAACAATCTGGCTAGAAACATTTTTACTAATTTTTCAGGTGAAGTCATGGCAAATTCGAATGTCAAGCAAAGCAGGTTACCAACTTGGAAATGGGAAGGTGTAGTAGAGTTATCAGCAAGACAACAGAATGTGCTTTTTCCTCATTTTATGTTAATAGTTAAGAAATCTGCGTATAAATATGTATTTATGTTTTGAAAATGGTATGGAAATGAATGCCTGTTTGAACAGGTGTTTGGTGAAGCAGTACAACAGCAGTGAAAGAAGGAATAGGAACACTGTAGAAGGTGTTTGAAAAGTTGGAATGAAATAGTGGTGAACCATGTAGTAGGTTGGGCAGTGTATGAGGCTGCTGTGTGAAGAAACAGAGCAGCTGCACTGGTAAGAACAACAGATAGGAGAGTTTAAATCTGGATTGTTTGATAATTAACAAAAAAAATTTTTAACGTTGGCAGAAGTTTGTCCAGACTGTACTTGAGGATAACTCAGAATATGAGGTGTGATCTTTTGAAAGAATTCTTAGCTGTTTCATTGTGGTATGTCTGTTATTTTTCCATGTTACTGTTACACTGTGATGCTTTTGGTGTGCAAGAACTCCCATTTACATATAGAAATGAAGTACAATGTTATTTGAGTTAGGATCTGAACACCTGGAGTATCAGAAAGGAATTGTGATGGTTGTTTAGCCACTTCTGCTACATAACAGTTGAACAGTTACTTGATTTAAACAGTGTTTCTCTCTTGCCTTCTTAAACAACTTAATTTGATGTCATGGGATATGCATTCTGTTTGATAGTGGAAGAAAAAGTAGCTCTAGCAGGATTTACTTTTTGTGAGATAGAGAGTCAAGTATCCTGTTTAGAAATGTGGTCAAATCTAGCTTGTTTTCTTTCTGATCCCTTTTATGTAGTATTGCTGACAGGGTGATATTGAGAAACAAAGGACTGTTCTGTAGCAGGAGAAGCAAAAATATGTAAACTTTATAGACTACTTGTACCAGCTGATTACCCTTCAGGTGCTGGTAGTAGAGCTTTTAAGGAAGGCGCAAGCTGATGTAGATTGCATCTGATGTGAGAAGGGAAAAGGAGTTGGGAGTGTGTTGCTTCAGAAAGCAGTGTCTGGGGCTAGTGAGTGGAGCATTTGTGGAGCTCAAAGGAAAAATAAGTTGGAAACTCTAGAATCAAAAGTCTGAATTTTAATTTGTAGAAACCAAATCCAGAGTGAATGAAATTAAGGTAAGAGAAGAATAAAACCTGGTACACAGAAGATAATCTTGCTAAGTGCCAGCTACCTGCAGTGCTGTGGGTAAATGTTGTTTTTTAGTGTTGGTTATCTGTTAAAGAGCAATAAACTTTGCATCTGCTGTTACACCAACCTGTCGCTGGGGAGGTGGCGTGCCCCGCTGCTCTGTGGCTGAATTCAGCTTTGTCCAAACAGCTCTTTATCAGAAGGTACGGTTGCAGACTGCTTGGATATGAGTGCCAGGAAGTGAGAATGCTGAGATTGTGTGTGTTGTCTGCTTGCTCTGGAGCCCCTGTACACTGCCAGTTAAAGGTGGCTCTGTGATGACGGATTACTTTGCTGTTTGTGTTTGTACCTCAAGATTGTTTCCAGCTTGGAATGAATGTGCTGTATTGGATGAGAATTATTGGAACTTTGGTTGGTTTTTTTATCCTGATGACTTCTGTTTTGCATGGTATGTGGATTGTTATGCAGAAGTTTCTGTCAGGAATTTTCTAAGGCAGCTGATAGTGGGAAGTGAGTGACCAGATTTGCTAAGTGAAAAATAGGTATAGGTGCAATTATTTAATTATTATTACTTTGTTATGTCACATGTTCTTGGATTTTGTGGTTGTTAGAGGTGGAGGTATATATGGTCTTTAAAGGTGCCTTTAACCAAAAGACTTTTGTGTTTCTATGGTTTGTTTTTGGTAGGGTTAGCCTGTCTAAAACAAGATTTTTGAGCAGTACTTATTTGGAGGGTAGTTGTATTCCATGCCCCAGAGTTCATAGGTGTCTGAAATGCAGTAATGTATTTTTATTGAGAGGTTGGAGATGAAGAATTTTTGATTAGGCATGAAATAGGTTGATCAAGCTTTCTTGTTAAAGGGATCATTAGTATTATTCTTTATTTCTGGTTAGAAAGCAGAAGGATTGCCTAGAAAATAGTATCATCTGAGTATGGGGAGAAATCACAAGAAAAGCTAAGAAAGAAAAGGTGGGAATAGCTGAATGTGGAAAAAATGCAAGGAAATATATGAGAAGCAAATAAAGAATGACTTGTGCAGTAAAGGATGTGTCAGGGGAAATAATTACTGTGTTTCTGTCTCTGTCATGGGGACAGATGATAAAGCTGTTGGGTCAAAGCTTGTCTTACTCGCTGGATGTCCTGGATGGTGAAGGTGTAAAACACTGTGTTAAAAGGAGGTGGAGGTGTGTATGAGTGAGGCTCCTGAGGGGCCTCATGGACAATATTTGCATTCATTTGATTCTAAAAATGGTGGCCCATGGTTGCTTAGTATGTAAGCTCGTGATGAAGAGCTTCGAGGTGTAGCACAACTTCCAAGTCATGGTGAAAACACCAAACCCATTTTTTTGGTGTTATCCAATACATGAATGCTTCAGGAGTTACTTTTCAGGTAGTTAACTTTCAGACTTTGGACTGTTTCAACTGTGAACCCAAAAATTCGTCTTTCTGTCCATAAGTTAGCAATAGAAGAAAATTAGCAGCAGAAATGAAAAAAGCCCTTTAATGTCTTAAAGCATCTGTTGATGTCCTCTATCCTTTTACCCTGGTTTTTCCAAGTGTATGGGAAGGTAAAGGTAGGTAAAATTTAGCGTGTTACCAAGAAGGTGACTTTTAGTTCAGGTATTGAAAAGCAGTAACAAGCTTCCAGACAATCCTCTTTTATCATAGCTGCATACTTTTATTCAGTGTTTCTGCTTCTTTTCAGTTGTTTTTCAAGTAGTGTGCAGGAGTAAGAGCAATTTTAATTTTTTAATAGTGTAAAATATCATCCATCTTATTTTCAGTGTGAAGGCTGGTTGAGTGTAACTCTCGAATTGACAGGAATACTGAGATTATCTGCAAGCAGTAGACAGCTCTTGCCCATTTCTCTTCCCCAACCCCCTTCCCACATCAGATTTTCATTATGTGGCATTTAAGATAATGTTATATGTCTTCAGGGATTCATTGTTTTCTCCTTTTCTGTTAGTCAAAGTTTGTATAACATGATAGCTCTTAAACTAGTTCTGGGATTAGTTTATACAGAGCTGAATGTTCTTTTGAAAGTGACTGTTGTTTTGAATACTTCAGTGTAATGCAGTGGCATGTGCAAAATTGAAATTGAGTCATTCAAATGGCAATCTCCTGCTAAAGGTGAATAAAGACTAGTCAAGCAGGTCTCCATTGCTGATATGTGTAGCAATGAGTGGAAAAAAACAGCTGAGCAAGCTTGATGAATTTTTTTGGTTACTTTTGGATTTGTAATTTTTATTAGCCCCTCAGTTGGAAGACTACAGATTGGTGTTGGATTTAACATATTCATACTCCTGTATTGTGTGGATATTCTTTGTCCACTTCTGTTGCCTTTTTTACTTGAAATACCACCCAGTCTTGCTGCATGTGGTG